ATATTTCTCATAAAGTTACAAATTCTTACTTTTTTCCTTGTGCGTCATAAAATACTATTTTCTTGTCCAAACCAACRCTGACMAGAAGCATTTCATTGACAGGAGAAAAGCTGAGACCAGTGGCTGGTGCTCTGTGGTCACTAGTGAATGAYGTCACAAGCTTACGACTGTTTGTRTCCCACATATTCAAAGCTCCRTCATCACTGACTGATCCTAGAAGACTCTTYTTAAAGTAAGAATACTGAAGCCCYCTGATGGCCTGAAATACAAAATATTCTWAAAATCATTAACAGTAAAGATGTGGACGAGGACATAATGTACTCTTCTCAAATTCATTAATGATAATTTATAAGGTAAACACAATGGAAAATCATTGACGTGACCGCATCTTTATATATGAGCAAGAGATTTGTCCTGATTTGCAAACGACTTTAACTTTGATTTTCTCTTACAAATGATATTTTATCTTAAAGTTTGTTTCAAAATATGCTTTAGCTTATGTTGGAATTTGATAAGCAATATAAAATATTTGTGTCCAACCTTTATGGGCTCTAAAACTACTGGCTTGCAGCTCGCAGTTTTATATGACCATAAAGATCTCCCACTCAAATTTTATATTTTCTTAAATACCTGTGTCTTTGGTTGTCTCAAGGCTGCACTAGCCTGTCCAGTAACAACATTGTGGAGTAAGATGTTGCCATCTAGAGCACCAGATGCTATACATGTATCATTCCAGTTGAATGTCAGACAAGAAACTGCGTCTTTGTGCTCCTTTAAATACAAAACATAATCATCTTTTTTATTATCTTGTCGTCATAAATGGTATAATTCAATCCTTGATTGACAGCATGCAAAATTTATCTGAGCTGGTACATACAGCTAAGGTTATGGGCTATACTTTTCAATATAAATTACCTTACAGCCTTTTGCAAAAATTATGAGAATTGTCGAAATATCTAAATATCAAAATATCGACTGCATGATGGGTAATCCCGCACGATGCCCTTAGTCCCTTGTCTTTGTTGTTTAGTTTTTTTTGGTGACTGACTTATCCGTAGTTCTGAACATTTTCTCGATGTCAACAATGAATTATTCTAGCAAACCCGCGTGTTCCGGACAATATATGGATATGGATATTATGATATTTAGACAATTCTCATAATTTTTGCAAAAGGCTGTATAATAATTCAATACAAATTACCTTATATGTTTTTTTGACACCTTTTGACTTCCAGTCCCAGACACTTAGAGATTTGGTTTTACCACCAAGTAGTAAATACCTTGAAGAAGAGTTGAATGCAGCGCAAGTATACCCAYCCTGTATAATGTACAATAAAAAAACATAAACATTGCAGAATGGCTACAAATCATTACTGAGTTAAGGGAAGAGGGGTTAAAGAAAGGTTTCTTCTGCATTACAAGATTGTAGCAATAATTCCTTTCATAATAATCATGACTACATTGGTACTGCAATAGGAATCTACAGACCCAATCATTTCAAGAGATAACCAACTTAGTAATAGAGTTTTAATAAAATGGCTTGATAAGGGATTTAGCTAGGTACAGCGTTGTTAGATGAGTATCCTGACTTCTAGTGAATGTTCGTAATATGAGGGTGTACCCAAGGTGAAAGTGGATTGTATTTTCCTTAGCGTACTTACCCCAACAGCAAGCTCAGTGGAATTACTCAAACCACCCTTCAGTGAYGTCACAACAACTTTATCACCACCGACACTAACTAAATTTTGATATGAGAACCGTTAAGGAAATATATAGCTTTGATAATAGTTTCAGGGCTCCAAATAAAGGCCAGTCAAATGACAATGTCCTTCCAAATTTGCTAGATGACCGGCCAAATCAGGTTTTGAAAGGACAAATTTACCTGCCACATTTTTAGACAAATCAATTCTCAATTTGCTAAATAAATCTCTTACAAGCCATTAAAATGCTTGCTGATCTTTCTGAACACAAAACTTAAAAGAAATAATAGTTTATTACTACAGTTTTTGTCCTTTCAAAACTTGACATGACCTTCCACAAATGAATTTGGAAGGACATCTTGGCAGTTATTTCGAGCTCTGTGGTTTGAATGTTGAACATCACTTTATAACATGAATTGAGTACACCATTAATGCTGTCTTGATAAAAAATTTGAATTATCCTCCAAAATCAACTTCATCTTTTGACAGTTTTGAAACTAACTGATACGAAGATACAAAGAATTTTCCATTGATGACTCCTAATCATTATCAAGTATGAAGATAAATCAAAAAGTACTTGAACATTGGAGTTAAATTACATTACTGTACAATGACTTACAAAAGCATTGAAACTATTTATCACAAAGGACACAAACTGTTATGTTTGATTGACAATGAAAGCATACCTGGATGTGTGCTATTTATCGGGTAATGAGATACATGTTGCATACTATTTTCTATTGTATAATATTTAACAGTAATACATCCTTTATTGAAAGTAATAGTCATAGAACCCTCTTGAGTTTTACAATATAAAATTCAATATTTCATTTCCTGCTTAAGAAATAGTAATACTTGAAATTATTATAATGTACATTAAAAACTGAATAAAAATATTTGTCACTAGCCTAAGATTTTAATGAAAAAACGCAGACGTTTCGGTCAGAACTCTGACCTTCCTCTTCCTAGCTGCAATTTTAAAATATTTAGTGAAATATTACAATGTATATTTTTTTTATTTTTTGTATGGTTGCGTTTTGGATACATGTATATATATACAGTATTTCAATATCAATGAAAAACAAAGAAATACTAGCAAGCTTGCAAGAATATGAATCAAATGTTATAACACATTCAGGATGTTCAATTCATCTGCTATAGATTTTTTTTTTCTTTGTCAAAATAAAATATAATCTGCTTTTTAAGAATATCAGGAAAGATTGTTGAATTGCTGTGTTGCACTGTAACCAGGTAGCAAAATAGTCCCAATTGTATGCTAAGCTTATATAAATACGTGCTATACAACTTGATGTGATTGCGAATGGTGTAGCAACACGGAGAAACAGTCATTATGCAGTTGTATTGTAATCCTGGCAATATTATTGAYTTGTAGCGTTTGTTTATTTTCAAAATTTGCACWAGTTCGAATTGCGATTGGAAAGAAATAAACTTCCTCGTGAAAAAAAAGACTTAAACAGCTAGCAAAACTTATTATATTATATTATATAGATAATAGATTTTATTAATAATTATATAAATTGTATATCTAATGAAAAGATTGGAAAATAAGGCCTTAAAAGGATATTATTATTGCCCCAACATAGTGATGTGACCGGTTGAGAATGTAGACTGATCGAGTTCGTCATGGCAAATCCTGGAACTTCCCATAGCTTTATATCATTCCCACACGAAGCTAACTTCGATTTCTCACCCATGATGACTTCAAATCATACGTAGCTTGTTTKTGAGAAATTCTGTCGACTTTCGAACACTTTTTTCAAGTGATTTTCGGCCATTTTTGAACCCAAAACTTTCTTGCCGCCATTTTTCTGCCAATAACATAAACGTACCCAGCAATGCTTTCGAGCCGTATTTTCAATGAGAAATCCGCTGTTCGTGAATAACATGTTRTTATAATCAAAACATTGCCAGAAACGTTCAACATTTGGGAAGATAAGTGTTATTTGAATTTGATTCTATTAAAACGACACGAAGTCTCGAGTTCAGTGTTTGTATATTGGCACCTTTGCGGGGAAGGGACGCGAAGAATATCCAGTGTAACTCACCCCACGTGTTGCGGTGGTATTGACAAAAAAACTTATTTTTCAAGTTTCGAGTAGGGGCAAGAATAACAYGGCTTCCATTTGTACTACGACATATATACTTTTCCTTCTGAATTACTAGGGAGCAGTYGTTYTAATTATAAAATTTTGGAGGCGTTTTGCGGGCGTTTGGATTGTTTATGGCGTTGTTTACTAGCAATTATAACAATGGAGTTGCATAGTCGAAGGTGACGATATGACATTTGTTCCTTGTTCTGTTGCTATGCAATCGGCAATTTGTGCCACATGCATGATTTTCAGCTGTTGAGTAGCGTCCTTTGTCATTTCAAACAAAGGGCGCCTTGCAGTCTATTATCTATACTAAGTGACTGGCGAGTGAAGAAAACCTATTGTTTTTCCTCAAGTTCTCGTGGGAAAAACTGGAAGGTCAAAGTTACGAAAACAACACCGGAAACTTGCATGGAAAATAAAACGTTTTCGGACAGCAATAGTAAAGGTTTTAATATTGAAAGTAACTAAAGATTTACCATTTAAAGTTTTGCCTTTTGACTAAGAAATCTTGTGAGGAACTCCTTTGAAGTATGAATTAAAAACACGATCAATTTGTTAGTAATTTATCGTTTGATTAATCAAAACTATTCGCATATAAATGAAATAGATGGAAACAGGAACTTCAAAGATTCAAGGGCAAATACAATAGTCCGTAAAAGTTTCTTGAAGTTTTATTTTACAGCGTTTACAAAGGTTTAGTTATAGCTTGATTTTATCGACTGAGAAATGAAAGTCTCGCAAAACATACAATATTTGCGAGGGATTTTAGAAGGACATGTTGAAAAGAGAAACTTTTTTTCAGGTTGTTAATGAGAGTATTAGATGAAATGCTTTTAAATTGTTGAAACATTTTCAAAAGATCGAAAAGCATTGGTCATCCCAGGATTGTTTGTCGTTCATTACTTAGGCAAAGAATATGTCAAAGCACGCGAGAGTGGGCATACCAGATCAAAAGGACTTCAATTTATCTTCGCGTCATGTATTCAATGCAACACGTGCAATCACTGCAAACAAGACGCGACGCCAACGACTGCATTCATTGAAATGCAATCTAATCCCACGGCACGGCATTAGATTGCCATTAAAACAATGCATCTATTGTCTCGCTGGATTGCATTCGCGTGCAGTGCTAATTGCATGCCCGTGGTTGATTGACAATGGTGGCTTACTATTGGCTAGCTGGTCCTTACACTTGTGGACAATACATGCATACAGCGAGTCGTATAAATAGGACTGCAACGATCAATCGGCATTACAGCATTACATGCAATACTGTACGCAACAAGTGAAAACATCTTCTGAACTAAAAACCAAGGTCACTATGTCTGATAAAGTTCTCAAATCCAAGAAAATCAAGCAGGTAAGACTTTGAGTTATGAGACTTCTACATTTCATCGTGAAGTTATAGTTTTATAAACTTTGAGTGCTGTTTTAGTAGAGTTCTAAACTAAATATCCTTCCTCTCTTGTTCTTTTAAGGCTAACAAGTCGAGCAAACCACTTCTTGAAAGGCAACGCCGAGCAAGAATTAACAACAGTCTTAACGAGCTAAAGCACCTCGTTCTGTCTTCACTTTATCAAGGCGTAAGTAGTTCTAACGTTCATAACTCGGATGCTTATCATAAACGACTTCTCGGAACTTAACACTTAGCGTATCCTCTAAATAACTTTTCTATCTTTCAACAGTGTCCGCAAGCCGAAAAGAACGGCGAAAAGATGGAAAAAGCAGAGATTTTGGAATTGACTGTGAATTTCCTAAAGCTCGCTAAAAGCCGAAGACATTATGGTAAGTGAGAGTCGATTTGTACGCTTGATTGACTTGAGGATTAAGTTAACAAACTTGACCCAAGATTTACAGCTACAGTGGCAAAACTTGACAAACTTCAATTCAAATCAACAAAAAAGGCATAACAAATACATAGTTTAATCATTTTTTTCGCTTTGATTTAAGGTCTTAGAGCAGTTGAGTTAAACCATGGCAAAYTCARTCCATCTCCTCAAGATTACTTTGCCAGAATGGAAAATACCTTGCCACGATGCAGCGAGCAAGTGCTGGCGTCACACGGCGTCCAACCAGTCATTCCTCCTTGCTCAATTGCGAGAGCTACAACGTCTGTTGACAATGAAACTTGCTGTACTGTTCAACCTTGCCTAGGATATCAGATATCGACGTCATATTCGCCGGTTTCTCAGCTTTCAGTTCCATCGCTTTCGACAAGCAAAATGTCTGCGCGGTACCAACCACCAACCCCAACCGCTTCGTATCTTCATGTACGGCCCTCAAGCAAAGTCCAAGTTTGGCGACCGTGGTAAATCAAAAATGTTTTATCAAAAGAATTGCATTTTATACTGATAGCTATGAGAATTTCGTTTATGAAAGATGTGAAAACTTTGTCTCGGAATCAATCTTGTCGTTTGTTTCTGTAAATATTATAGAGTTGTAAATATTATAGAGAATTTTATAATGATCGTAGGAATCAGCTTATAATAACAGTTGATAATTAATTCACTATTTGTAAATATACATTAAAAGAAAGATATATTAAAATAAATAGTTTAAAAGTATTAATCTTGTTAATTATTATTTGTCTACAAATGATGTTACCTATGAAATGCATAAGGATGAAACAGTAAACGTTGCGACTTCTTGAAAGTATATCAAGCGCCAAATATGAAATAATATAATATATTTATTTTTGTTATATACATACTATCCATAAAAAATCTAAAATACTTTGGATACCAACTTGGATAATATTGAGAAGATCATTTTGCCAGATATCTTAAGCATATAATGACCGCAGTATATAATAACCTGTAGTATACTTAGAAATGAAATTCAAACCAGCCATACTGCTGGGCAAAATAATATCTGGTTCATAAAAAAACTTTGTCGTGCGTGAAGGCACAAGGAATATTGAAGCCGTATTCAAAACGTTAAAAGTTCCGGGCAAGCACGTGTCGTTCGGCAATTCAATAGGATTGAATGCTTATAAAATGTCTTTTAATTGTTGAACTGACAAAAGACGATCTGACAAAGGACTTTAAAAGTAATGTCCCTTTGAAACTTGGTCGAATGCTATTAGAACTTGTCTAAAAGTGAACTACGACCTTCGAATTTTATTAAATATATCTTCGCACACGCATTTCCAAATGAAATGGTAACAAAAAGACTTAATTTCATATATATTTTTGTTTTTTTGTGATTTAGTTTCAGGCAAATGTGAACACGAGGGGGAATCTTTTCCATGACGGATTCATGAATATCTTTTATAATGAGCTTTTTTTTCTCGGCAAGCTTAAAAAAAGACGGGTTTTCTGATTAGTTTTAGTCCCACTCAGGTGTTTGAACACTGACGCGAGGCATTCACGCGAAATTTAAAGCCCAGGCTGAACGGCGTGCATTGTATTGTGCCGTGTCTATTGCTATTGCAGGTGCAAACAATGGCAACATAACAGCCACCGGAGCTTAATTACTCTCCTTTAACTATAGGGAAATAGCAAAATTGCTCATATAAAATGCCATGTGAACAATAGTTAAACTCCTACCGGAAAAATCATTGAATTTCGAAAACCATTATGAGTTGATTCTGTGAAACTGAAACTCGCAAAAGGTTCAGGATCATGATCAAACTCAGACAGAAAGTTGTCGGTTCCAAAGATTTAAAAATAAATGCGTCTTATGCTATTTTTATTGCTCTTTGTGAATTAGCAGACACATTTACAAATTAACTTCAAATTATTAAAAAAAGGGTACCTGCCAAAACAAGTCTCTGATCAAGCCCAACAATGTTAGACCGCCGATAGGGGGCAATAACCGTCAAATATATAAAATAAACTTTCAAGCTTTTTTGTCTTGAGCTTAGAGACGGGTTTATTAGCTATCTCAGTAGTTGCATGACATATGTTATCTACTAACATATTTTTTTCGGTATCAAATAGTGCAAAATACCATTAGAATTCCAAAAACATAATGATCTTGTTCTAAATGTAGTAAGAACATATCTGGACGATTAGAAGGGSAAAAAATATCGTACATGAAGCTTTAACAGGCGAATATTCAGACAAAAGATTTATTGTATAATTTCAAGTGCTACGAAAAACCGGGATGCGCATTTCAAAGAACAATAAAGATGGCTATGGGTACAAGTGCGCATGCTCTGGTAAGTAAGTCGTACGACAACCAACTATAACGGAAGAAAATCCCCAATACGTCTTGAGCGTTGCGCGCATTGCCACAAATAAGCTTTATATAAAAAGCCTTTTATTCAAATTGGCTCGAACAGGCCCTAACCGCCACAACGAACACATGTGCTGGATGTAGAGTGCATTCAGTCGAGCACAAAACGTCATTATCGACAGATGTAGATCATCCATTGTAGGGAAGATGATTCGGGATTTCGTCAATAAAAAAAGGTTTTAAAGGCAATCCGTGTCACTTTATAAGCCGCGCCCAGCTTTTGCAAGTGACACCTTTTAGAAGTCATCCCAAAAGATTGCKAGAAATTATTGCTTGGAACATTCCGACTTAATAAAAGCRAATCCTARSATCAAAAATTCTCGTTGTTGGGTGTGCGTGCATTCGTGTCCGTGTATATTACTCGACTTTAAGACCATTGACTTTGAATTGAAACAATTGGCATTTGAAAACGAAAACGTCTCTATGCCATTTGAGCGAGCAACACGTGTATTGTCGAGGCATACGCATAAACGTGCAATCAATCGTCGCGCTCTTGC